TGTGAGTGCAGCCCCTACAAAGATGGAGTTTGTGCTTCCCACACTGTGGTCCGACGGCACACAGCATTTCGTGGTCAATGAGTGAATTCTGAGTTTAAGCTTAGTATTTTAGGGGCACCAGTTAAGTCAAATGAAGTCATGACTATGAAAGCAAACAATATCTGTCAACTATCACATGGAGGTCAGCCATTCCATCTAATCCAATTTTAAAGACTTATTTTATTTTTATTGGAAAGAGAAGAGGGACAGAGACGAAGATTTCCTCCCCAAGTGATCTCAACGGCCAGAGCTGAACTGATCCAAAGCCAGGAGTCAGAAACTTCCTCCAGGTTTCCCATGTGGGTGCAGAGTCCCAAGGTTTTGGATCATGCTCTCCTGCTTTCCCAGGCCACAAGCAGGGAGCTGAATGGGAAACAGAGCATCAGGGATACAAACCACACCCACATGGGATCAAAGCATGCAAAGCAGAGGATTTAACCACTAGGCTATTGCACCAGACCGCATTCCATCTAATTCTTTCATTCTGTGCTTCAATTTTAGCTCAACTGGGGAAAGTTAGGGGGAAAAAAATCTACCCAAATCTACACCACGTGAACGGGGTGATGGAATGCAGAATTAACTCCGCTTTGTGTTTACCTTTTATAAGACATCTTTTGTAGGCAAATCTGCTACAGTTTCTAAAAAAACTTCCTCATTCATTCTGCATTTGTCATTTCCTTTTCTGTCAAATGCCTTTTCCTTCCCCCTTACCTTTCTTGCTCTTCTTTTTTAAAGATCTACTTATTTATTTTAAACTTTTTTTTGTTATTATTTTATAACACAGCTCCATAGGTTCTGGGATTTCCCCCTTACCTTTCTTGGTGGATAATTCTCCCCAACAAATGTGATACACTTACGTCAGTGCTTTTATTCTCAAGTCATTCTTTCATCCACTGGTGTGATTACATAGAATGAATGACATCACAGTGTCCTACCTTAACTGACTTTGAGAAACAACAATCATCAATGTTACTAATTGTTCTCTCTGGGTGGTGTGCTGGGCATCTTTCAGGTATACCAGTGAGAGGAGAGCAAGGAGTCCCTGGACCACCAGGTCCTGCTGGACCTCGAGGACACCCAGGTCCTTCTGGACCACCAGGAAAACCAGGCCACGGAAGTCCTGGTCTGCAAGGAGAGCCAGGGCTGCCAGGCCCACCAGGACTATCGGCCACCGGAAAGCCAGGTTTGCCAGGACTCCCAGGAAAACAAGGGGAGAGAGGACCACAAGGACTGAAAGGAGATGTTGGCCCAACCGGTTTGCCAGGACCCCGGGGCCCACCAGGGCCACCTGGAACCCCAGGTCCTGCGGGAATTTCTGTGTCAGGAAAACCTGGACAACAGGGACTGACAGGGGCGCCAGGTCCCAGGGGCTTTCCTGGAGAAAAAGGTGCACCAGGAGTCCCTGGTGTGAACGGACAGAAAGGGGAGACAGGATATGGTGCTCCTGGCCGTCCAGGGGAAAGGGGTCTTCCAGGCCCTCAGGGTCCCATGGGACCACCTGGCACTCCTGGAGTCGGTAAAAGAGGTGAAAACGGGTTGCCGGGACAGCCAGGTATCAAAGGTGATAGGGGTTTTCCAGGAGAGAGGGGACTGAGTGGCCCACCAGGTCCTCAAGGGCCTCCTGGGGAACGAGGACCTGAAGGCATTGGGAAGCCAGGAGCTGTTGGAGCTCCAGGTGAGCCAGGGATTCCAGGAGCTAAAGGCCATCCTGGTGCTCCAGGAATAGCTGGACCTCCTGGGACTCCAGGTGTTGGGAAACCAGGCTTGCCAGGCTTGAAGGGGCAGAGGGGACCTATTGGCCTTCCGGGAGCTCCAGGGGCTAAAGGGGAACAAGGGCCAGCAGGTCATCCTGGAGAGCCAGGTCTGATGGGACCCCCTGGAAATACAGGACCACAAGGACCAAAAGGTATCCCAGGCAGCCATGGTCTCCCGGGTCCTAAAGGTGAGACAGGGCCAGTTGGGCCTGCAGGCAACCCTGGTCCTAGAGGAGCTAGGGGTCCCCCTGGGTTAGATGGTAAACCAGGGTACCCAGGAGAACCAGGTCTCAATGGTCCTAAAGGTAACCCAGGGTTACCAGGTCCCAAAGGAGACCCTGGAGTTGGAGGCTCTCCTGGTCTTCCAGGCCCTATGGGCCCAGCAGGAGCCAAAGGAATGCCTGGACACAATGGTGAGGCTGGTCCAAGAGGTGCCCCTGGAATACCAGGCACCAGAGGCCCTATTGGACCACCAGGGATCCCAGGGATCCCTGGACGCAAAGGAGATCCAGGAAACCCAGGTCCTCCTGGCCCAGCTGGCATAGCAACAAAGGGCCTGAATGGACCCACTGGGCCGCCAGGGCCTCCTGGCCCCAAAGGCCACGCTGGAGAGCCTGGCCTTCCTGGACCACCAGGGCCCCCTGGCCCACCAGGCCAGGTAGTCATGCCCGATGACTTCACAAAGGCAGGTCAAAGGCCCAGTCTTTCTGGGATGCCTCTTGTTAGTGCCAACCAGGGAGTAACAGGAATGCCTATGTCTGCTTTTACTGTTATTCTCTCCAAAGCTTACCCAGCAGTAGGGGCTCCCATTCCATTTGATAAGATTTTGTATAATAAGCAACAGCATTATGACCCAAGAACTGGAATCTTTACCTGTAGGGTACCAGGAACATACTATTTTGCTTACCATGTGCATGTGAAAGGGACTCATGTTTGGGTGGGCCTATATAAGAATGGCACCCCTGTAATGTACACCTACGATGAGTATGCCAAAGGCTACCTGGATCAGGCTTCGGGGAGTGCCATCTTGGAGCTCACAGAAAATGACCAGGTATGGCTGCAGCTGCCCAACGCTGAGTCCAATGGCTTGTACTCTTCTGAGTATGTCCATTCCTCCTTCTCAGGATTCCTCATGGCTCCCATGTGAGTAGGTTCCCACTGAGCTAACCTAAATCTGCTTGAAAAGGCACTCCCCAGTTTCACCCCACTCCATCCCACCCCACAAAATGTACATGGAAATAGACTGAAAACCCAATGTGACTCATTTTCATTTTCCAGTGTATAGCACTGAGCTTTCAGACCAACAAATTTTCCCTTGAAAAAGGAAGCAGCCAGCATAAACAACATGTGGAAAGCCTCTTTAATTTTTCCAGTCAGGGACCCAAAGTCCTTCACAATTTTCTATGAGCTCTTTCAATTTGTGATTATTTCATCCCCAAAACTCTAAGTTCAAAAATGAAACCCTTACACACACAAAGAGGTCTCCAAAATAAATTCAATTTCATTTGAAAAGCTCAGTATTTCCTTCTGAAATGAGCCTGTTTTCTAAGAATCTAAGAAGTTATGGGAGACATTCAGGAGGTATCAAACAACTTTATAGAATGCAAATACTTGAATATTTGAAGTTACAAGACACTGTGCATTCCCTGGTATTTCTGACGGTGCATCACTTCAAGGCTCCTGTGGCCCCTTCCATTACGATCCAGTCAAACACACAGATGTGAACATACTTCTTGAAACTCTTAAGAAAGTCAAATAGTGTGCTAAAATTCATCTGACATGTTAAGGTGCTTTTGTCATGAACCTTTTCACATGTTTCTGTGGTTGCAGGGAAGCTTTCTGTATTCCCTGCATGACCTGGAAACAGGTGTCTGCCCTAGACTTATTTATTTAACACAGTGTAACTAATTTGATTACTGAAAATTCCTAATTGAATTTTATGTAATATGATTTGTGCATTGATCCAACATTAATGTGTGTACCTATGCCTCTTACTCCAGTGAAATTACAATTAACAGGAAAGGTTTCAAAACCTGACTAGAAATTGGAAAACACATTATTTATTTATGCTCTGTACTGTATTTTTGTATTGCTGCTTAACTCTTTTAACTTGTGCCTCACTTACTAAAGCACAAAATATTTAACCTATTCCTTATTTACAATGCAATAAAATAACATCAACAGATTTTTATGTTGTGTTCATTGAAAAAGACACTTTGCAATTCTCAACCCTTGTTTTTAGGGCTTTGCATTTCATAAAGTTAAAGAGTAAAACAAGAAAAGTGGTGGGTAGTTTTCACATCTGCCGGGGATATGACTCTGTATAAGGGATGGGCATTCCCACACCCCCAGCATTCAGCGGAGATTGTGGAAAGGCACCCACAAAGCCACATGCTACTTCTGACCAGGGTCAAAGGCTGCAGAGTAGGCACAAAAAAAAAAAAAAAAAAAGAAAAGAAAATATCACCCAAAGCAGTGATTTTGCTTTGAGAAGGGAAAGAAGCAGGTAATAAAAATGTGCAACTTCAGCAAATATTCTGCAGTTTCTATTTATTGCCTTGGTATGTTTGTAGTCAAAATATTTTTAGTTATTTTGAAGGACTGATTCACTTTTTAAAGGAAAGCAAGCTATTTTTAATGTCAATCAAAATAACATTTTTCCAAGGTGAAAAATACTGTTTTTGAGCATGCATTCACACACTGCTAGTGTTAAACCAGTCTGGTTCAAGTCTCTGGGGAAACACACTACAAAAACCTCCGCTTATGATTCTTTAGGACTCTAAACAATGGAGTAATCTAAACAAGGGAGTGTCAATGGAAGGGTAAAAGACCAGGCTCAAGGCCTGCCTCATTAGAATGGAATCTCTACCAGCATGCAACAGGCCCACCTGACTTAACTACACTAACGGTCACAGGTCAGCAAACCCAAGGCTGCAGCTTCAAATCTGGGCAACACAGAAAGACCCTCTAGGCAGGCACGCAGCAGAGTTCAGGAGCACAGCTGGGAAAACTGGCAATTATGTCCACAAAACAGACATGTATTAAGATGACCTCTTAAAATGTAAGTAGAATCAACTTCACAGTAATAATTTAAGGTCAAATTAAGTTCTAATGGCAAAGCATAGCACAATAGGCAACTTATAATTCAACAGAGACACACAGTGTTCAACAAACATTCATTAAGAAGCTTGTCTTCATGCTACTCACCCTTAAAGGCTGACATTTTAAAATTGTGTTGTATACCAGCAACTATATCCTTCCAAAAATCAAATGTTTTTTGATCACTGTTGTTCTAAAAAAAAAAAAAAAGAGAAAGAAATCAAATATTACAGAAACTGCTGACAAACAATCACAACAAAATATAGCACCAGTTTAAGAGAGGAATTTATGATGCAGAAAACAATACATTAATGAAGTTTTCATTCTAAAAAACGTAATTTTAGGAAATCTTCCATGAAAAGCACTGCTCTGCACACACATATGAATCAAAAAATACATAACACTAAGCACTAATGTAGTTCATACAGCTCAAAGGAAGCACACATTTCTATTTCTTTATAAAGCTTCAAAACTAAGACTGCAGTAGACATGTGAGCAAGTTTACGATGTCTTAGTTTGAGACATCATAATATGTGACTTAATGTACTATGTCTGGCATCGGTGAAGTCAAAAAGCTGGAAGCTCTAACGCCCAAAGCTGCTGACTTCACAGAATTTAGATAAAAAAGAACAGCAAGTCTCCACTAAAAAAGAATGGAGTTTGAAATCCAAAATGTAAATCATTTTTTTTCCAGATGTTTCTTTCAACAGAAAGTAAATGGGCATTACATTTAAAAAGAATAAAATCTTATAATGCTTGGGAGCATTAACCAGCGGCCTTTTATCTAAATACACAAACTTCAGAATACTTAGAATCAGTTTGCTTGCTGTAACTACTAAATGAAATTAACCTCATTTCACATTAATACACTCTCAAACCTAATAAGAATTCAACAGAAATTTCTACAAACATCTGACCGTACTTCTGACTAAAAATTAAGCTACTAGTACATGTAATAATGACTTTAAAGACTACACAGGCAAAAGAAAAGACATTCTGGCATGAAACCACATGGAGGCGCATAAATCTTAAGCTTCACATGTAAACTGACTCCAGCAGACACAATAACCATGCTCAAATGATGAGTATGCCAAAGGCTACCTGGACAGCACGAAAACCAGGATAGGGAAAGGGGTGGCTAGACAGAAAGGCACCTGCCAGTAGGTGTATGGGCTGGATAATGGGTTGGTTGGGTTGAACTAGGCTTCAATGTCCACTGATGTGTGTGAGAGCTAAATGGGATGTGGGACAGACTGGACAAGCCTGCGTGCAGTACATACTGGCAAGCAGGGGAACCAGGGTAGAGGGCAGAACTGGTAGGGGTTTTGGGGAGTCGCCCCAACTAGGCTGCAGCTCCCACTGGTTTGCATGAAGACCGAGTATGAAGTGGGTAGGATCGAGCTGGACTACAACACCCGTTGGTTCATGAGGAAGACGGGGCTGGAAACCGAACGGACCCAGCAATCGCAACGACCAGCATGTGCATACACTGATTGGTGTGACGAACGGTGTTGGAGTCTGTACTAGCAAACTCACGCAAGAATCAGATCTGGGATCAACTCAGATGAAGTTTCTTTGGATATCTCTCCAACTGAACTGCTGATCTTGGAACCCCAACCATCAAGAGACTGTCAGCCAGTGGACTCTGAATAGGTTTCATTGCGTTTGGGACGGTGAGATTGGCAGCAATCCAGAACTGATGAACTATCAAAACTGTTTGAGCAGGACCCTTGGAGCGCGCCTCATGTTGGGGATCGGGGATGGGTGGGAAGTTGGGTGGGGCTTTTCCCTTTGCTACTCCCCTAGCCCCAGATACAGGGAAAAATGATTATATTAGTGTGGAAACAATGATATTACCCACTTTCACCCTGTAGCCCTTGACCCTTTGTACCCTAATCAACTAAGATTATTAAAAGAAATTAACGGAAATTTTAAAAAGTTCACTTTCTCTGGTTTTATGCTATTCAGAGCACTTAAAGCTACATGGAATTTTCTTAATTTTCTTTAGTTTTCAAAATCTGTTACTAAAACCAAGCACATATTTTTTTCCAGATTAGCTTCTAAATATTTTTTTAATGTTCCAAAAATATTTTGACAGAATTTACCAAGTTGTTCTTTCTCAGCCACTACTGAAACCACAAAGAAACAAAATGAGAGCTCAACTCAATGAAGTTCTCCGACTTGTGACTACAAGCGTATCACAGTTCTTTCATTTTTCATGAGTTTCCGCTCACCTTTGTTAAAGAGTCCACCACTCTGGCACACAGAAGAGCTCCTGGCAGGTCAAAGTAGTTATCATAAAAATAATACTTCCCTAAAAGAAGAAAAATTTACAAATTGGGAACAAATCAATACTTTATACCTGCGAAAGAAAATTTTGGCTGAAGAGATTTTAATTTTAATTATTGGAAGAAGTCTCCATTTAAAATGGCACCATTACAGGCTATCAATAGCATTTGAGGAAGCTTTTACCTCTAAAAGCACCATATGAAAGTTAAAATACAATATCTGTAAGTAAAGCATTTCACTCGAAACTTTGAGTTGTCTTTTTAAAATGCAATAACTAAGAACAGAATGCTATGGTTTGGATATTACAGGCATTTGGCAAAGATCGCTGTGTTAAGGGTTTGGTTCCCAACATGTATGGATGAATGCTAATGGACATGATCTATTCCTACCATCTAGTAGGACTCTGCACTGGGGTAACTGGGACAGGGGAGGTCTTGGGTTACTGCAGGCAAGGCAAGTTAGTCCTCAGAGAGGGCTGGCTATAAAGCTGGGTTGGCCCCCCTTTCTCTCAACTCCTGGTTTTCCATGTGATCCTTTTTTTACCTGAGTTCCACCACCCACTGTCCTCTCCAGATGTTAAAATAAGGGGTCTGCCCAAACCTGAACCATAAACTTTTAAAACTCAACCTCTTCTGGGCCCAGCGCAATGGCACAGTGGTTAAGGTCCTCGCCTTGTAGCCCGGGATCCCATATGGGCGCCGGTTCTAATCCTGGCGGCACCGCTTCCCATCCAGCTCCCTGCCTGTGGCCCAGGAAAGCAGTCAAGGACAGCCCAAGGCTTTGGGACCCTGCACCCGCGTGGGAGACCTGGAAGAGGCTCCTGTCTTCGGATCGGCATAGCATCGGCCGTTGTGCTCACTTGGGGAGTGAATCAGCAGATGGAAGATCTTCCTTTTTGTCTCTCCTCTCTGTATATCCACCTTTCCAATAAAAATAAAATAAATCTTAAAAAAAAACCCAAACTCAACCTCTTCCTTGCTAAATCAATCCTCAATATAGAATATCCCTCAAATATAAAATGAAATTGAAGAAACCATAGTCTATGTTATCAGCAGCCCTGAATTTTAACCTAACACTAGCACATCATGAGATGCTCCACACAACACAACATTTACAGTTCTGTACTGGCTGACACACCTGGAATATCATATCTGTTTTTATATTAAGATAAGTTTCAGTACAGTGTGACAGTAACCAAGGAGATCAGGGGGTAAAAACCATGCAACGTGATGACATGATTCTCTAAGAAACACTGGGGAGTGCATTCCAGAATCTCAAGGATGAGAAAGATTGAATTCATCCAACACGGTCTACTAGGACACTGTGGGTATGAATGAATGAAGTCAATTCATCATTGTCAAGTATAGATCTATGAGTTTTCCCCTCCCTTTGTCTCACATCTGTGGTACTAATAGACGAAATTGAGTCCAGAAGCTGAGCTACTGACAAGTCTGGTTGGGATCTAATCAAGTAAGACAGGGTTTAATGAGGACTTACTGGTTCCTCATAATGGGGCAAGAGGTAGACTGCCAACTATGCACTGAATGTCTACTGTGTGGACACAAGAGGGTTTGTCAGCCTTGAGCTGTTAACTGAGCCAGGCCACGGTCAAGGCCTCTCACAAACTCTGAGACTGAGGCACAGGAAAGCATCACTCATCACCTCCTCACACAGCAGACAGCATGGTGTGAATGAAGTAACTGCTGAACTCTGTTCAGTAAACCCAGCCTCTGAATCAGGATCACATCCTGCAATCACCATGCTTTACACACACACAGTTCCCAGACCACATCCCGCAGTCACCATGCTCTTCACGCACACACACCCAAGAGGACTCATCGCTAAGATTGTCTCCTTTGTGTTGACAACCAAAGGTACTTGAATGAGGGAAAGAGAGAAATTTATGTTAGCAAAAATTCTCATTTCTGTGGCTATTTGCTCCACGGCTGCTGGCATGGCCGGCTGGCTGCTTCTTGAAGGCGCCTGGAGGTGCGAGCTTGCAGGAGGCCTGTGGGATGTGGATAGTGCCGATGAGGACGTGTGGGACCTGAGGGCCTGCACCTAAGCAGGTGGAGCTGAGGCTGGGGATTTCTCCACAAGCTTGATCGCAGGAGGGGCGGGAGGTAGCATGGCATCCTGGTAGACAGGGCTTGGGGAATTGTGAATGAACTTGAATCTTGAGTGGGTGGAGGGGTAGGGTCCCAGGTCAGCATGTGAGCCAAGAGCTTGGTTCCCTAGTGGGTGGGAAGAGCTCTATGCTCTTGGGCTGGGGAAGATCAGGCTGTGAAACCCATGCCCTCCCAGGCACAGGGACTGTGGACTGCTCAGTGATATGGGGACATGTGGGAAGGAAGACTGCTGAAGGAGTATGTTGCAAGTGAGGAATGACTTCTGGGGGATTTCTACCAACAAGGCCACTGTACTTGCAGGTAATCAACGGGGCAGAGACTGAGTGGTTTGAAGGAGGGAAGTTGGAGGACCTTTCTGGGTCAGACAATGCATCCACCAACATGGGAGGTATGAGCTGGGCTAGTTAGCATGGACCAATGCTGAGCACCACCCACGGTTACACACTAAGCTAGAGCTGGAGTTCTGCCTGGGGGCTGGATCACCAGCCAGTGAGTGTCAGAACAGGGGATGAGTATGCTAGGCTGGACTATGACATTAACCAACATGCAAGAGAACCAGGTCTGGGGGCCGAATCTGTAGGCAGTATGTGGGTTCACCCCGTGGAACTGCAATATCTATTGGTTTTCTCAAAAGCTGGGGGAAATGACAGGATGAGCTATACTTGACCATGGAACCACCTGACAGTCATGGGTACTGGTGTTGGAAACAGGCTGTGCTGGTCCAGGCCGCAGCATTTGTAGGGGCAACCAAGAAGAGGGTACGGGACAGGCCAAGATAGAGAGGGCAGACTATGCCAGGTAAGGGGATAGCACCATTTCAAGTGAGATCTGGGTCCAGGAGTTGGGGGAACAACTAGGGGAACTTGGGGAACTCCCCTGGTCGGATGTAGCATGTGATTCAGGCCTTGGTGTTGGTCAGGCTGAGCAAGGCAGCTCCACTCATCAGCAAGCAGGGTTGGGGACTGTGGGAGTAGGGGGCTCCCCTGCTGGGCTCACACTGAGAAATGAGAGAACTGGGATTGGGTACAAACTAGGCTATGAAGGACTACAGCACCCATTGGCCTGTATGTGAGCTGAGTAAGGGGGAGAGCCAGGCTGGGTTACAGCACTGTATCCACTGGTGTATGCATAAACCAGAGTAAGTGCAGGCCTGTTAGGCCTTTTTACAGTATTAGCTGGCAAGTGCTGGGAATGGGGCAAGTCCTGTCGAACTAGACTGCAGAACCACCTGGAAAGTACAAGATCTGGAGCGGGAAGTGCACCTATTATGGAAACTATGGGCACCTCTCTCATGGGCTGCAGCTTCCATTGGTGAGCTTGAAAACCAGGGCTGGGGGGAAGCCTGCCTAAACAGGTGCTAGCACCCATCAGCATAAGTGTGGGTATGGAGGGTGGGGTAAATTGGGATGAGCTAGGCTGTGGTACCCACTGGTGTGTACAAAAGCTTAATGGGATGTGGGACAGACTGGACCAGTCTGCTGCACATACTGGCATGTGCAAGAACCAGGGTAGGGGACAGGCCTGGTGGGGTTTGTTGAGTGTCACTCCCACTGAGCTGTAGTTCCCGCAGGTGTATGTGAGGCCCAAGTATGTGGTGGGCAAGGCTGGGCTGCGCCTCAGCATCCATTGGTTTGCATGTGAGATAGGGCTAGAGATAGAACTGACCCAGCAACTGTAACTACTAGTGTGTGTGTAGGCTGATGGATTGAGCCAGACCTCAAACCAGCTAACATACATTAGGAGTCAGGTCTGTAGTCACCTCAGATGAAGTTTCTTTGGGGACCCCCCTTCAACGGAACCACTGGACTGATAACTCCAGCCATGGGGAGAATTGCAGGATCTGTGGTCTGACTGGAGTACATGTGTCAGAGCTGGGCCACCTCAGTTGCTAAGACAGCACAGTGGACGGCATGCCCAGATGCATATAGGAGATAATGGCAGTCCACTGGTGCCTGCAGAGGACATCTAGTCCCACTGCAGAGGATGGAGGGCAGAATGAACCGGATAACTCTCCCAGCCAAGTCTGAGAGCAAGTATCTGGGCTAACAGACTGTGTCAGTCAATGTACTTTGGAAGATTTCCTCATCCTTGGAGCAATGAGATCGATAGCGTTTTGGGAGTATTGACACCGCCTGGGCAGAGTCCTCAGAGCAAGCTCTACATCAGGACCTTGGGATGACATCAGGTGGCTGTTCCCCATCCCTGAGTGCTGATGCATTTGGGGTGGTAGGTGTGGCTTCTCCCCTCTCCCAACCTCCACCCTACCCCAGAAACAGGAAGTACACAAAAATTGAAAACAAGGGTCTCACTCATTTGCTCCTATTCCTCAACCCTCCCCACACTAATCAGTGATCCACATAGGTGTGCATCCTTCTCAATTATGTAGGACATCATCAAAAGTAAAATTAAAAAAAGAATTCTCATTTCTTCCTCAGATGAGTGACCTTAGCTCCACTTACAGCTGAGGAAACTTATGCTCCACAGTGGCTCAGCATGATCATCCCTGAGTAGCTGAGGGACACAGGTTCCTTGTCCCCTGAAATGCGGGCCTCTTTAAGCCTCTTTTATAAAACAGTATTTGTATATCATCTAGGCACAGCCTCCACCCACGCTAAATTATCTCTAGACAGACTATCAAACACAATATAAATATTCTCAAAATAGCTTTTGCACTACATTGCTTAGGGCATATTCAGAAGAAAAAAGTCTGTGCATGTGAAACCATCATAGGTGTAATTATGGTGTTTACACCCACAGCAACACAACCTTTCCATCCTGCTTGGCAGAATGCAAGGATGCAGCGGCCCCACTGCAGCTGAACAAAGACACCTCTGAGCAAGTAGTAGCACTGTTTACTCCTCATATTTACCAAAAAATGTTTCTTTAGGACAATTGGACTTCTAGAAATTTATACTGCATATATTTATAAAAGTCAAAACCAGACATTTCTGCAGGCTGCTTTGTAATGGTGAAACACCAGGTTCAACTTAAATGCCAGCTGCGGCACTGGTTTTACTCCTGGTTGTTCCACCTCCAAGCCAGCTCCCTGCTAACACGACTGGGAAACTATGGAGGATGGTTCAAGTCCTTGGGCAGCTTTGTCCATGTGGGAAATCTGCAGGAAGCTCCTGTTGCCTGGCTTCAGACCGACCTGACTGTAGCTGCTGTGGCCATCTGTGAGGTGAAGCAGCGAATGGAAGATCTCTCTATGTAACTTTCTCCTTCTCTGTAACTTTGACTTTCAAATAAATAAAAATAAATCTTGAAAAGAAGAAAGTCCATTGGATACCTGTGGGGAGCTGTGCAGTTGGGTCAGATGGCATGGGTGTGTGATGTGCACCACTCCTCAGTTAGCAAGGCTGCGAGGAGTTTCTGGCTGCGAGACAAGGCCTGCCAGAATGTCTCTGGTCACCTCATTGCTGCCTCACCCACTGTATGGAACTCAATCACCTCTCTGATGTTTCACAGAATTCTTCTGAGGGTGTTGTTTTTTGGCTACTGTAAAGTGATTCCTGTAACTGGTATGACATCTCAAATTGATCAATCATGTTATGATAAAAACACCTTTAGTAACGTAAGGCTATGACACATAGCTAAAAGTATACAATAGTACAATTGAGCCCACTATGTTTCCAAACATCCTGTCATGTGCCCACTTTTGTCCTGAAGTTTGCCCTAGTAAGTAATGTTTTCCTTAAGAAATGGCTTGATAATATCCTGGAACAGAGGGCAATCCTGGAGGTACAAAGAGTTTGTTTACCAGAAACCTCGAACTGGTAGAACACATGAAATGACACATTTTAGTTTCTCACCACAGAAAGCAAAAGTATATGGGGCATCTTTTATAAGGAAATAGAGATTTTAAGCCATTTTGAGGAGGTTCACATCTATCTTACATTGGCACTTATATTTAGGGAAAGAAAACAGTTTATAAAGATAAAAGAAAGTTTCTTGTAAAAGCCCTCTGTTTGTAGATTGGCTGAATTGCCTTGATCCCTTTCACTGCCCTTTAACAAAAGAATGAAAAACAACTGAATCAGCACTAGGTGAAGGTGACAGTAATTAATGCATGATTTGATAAGATTTAGCAAAGAATCTGTTATAGGCTTTTATAAAATCCTTTCATTTATGATCTTTCAATTCTGCACTCTTAATATTTTAGGCAATATTAGTTTTATTGTGTTTAGCAAAAACTGATTTTGAGTATAAGTAAGCTACTTGTCACTATGTAACTGCATGCGCTGTCAACAGCAGAGTTCCTGGCTTTAGCCAGGTGATTGCGGGTTTCAATGAGTAATGGTTTGTTGAAAATGTTTCCTTAGAAATAGAAAAAATTTTTAGGATTGTTTCTTTCATTTTTCATTACATCATGGTTATGAAAATGCAACAACTGGATGTTGTGCAAAAGCTTGTGATGATTTATGTATAAATAAAGAAGGCAACTTTTCTGAGTTGTCCATTATGAGCATCAAGCCATAAGGGTCCGTGTCTTATCTCTTTCTATCATCTCGCCAATCCATGCATCCTTTGCAAGCTCTCAGTCAGCCGGAGCTGGTCTCCAGCAGATACCAGTGCATGCCAGCAGGTAAAAAATGAGACCAAAAAACCCACATGTGTGTGCCGATACCACAAGTTTTCCAAGTTTAGATGTTCTCTATTTCAGGCCTGGTACAATGGCTCAGTGGCTAAATCTTTGCCTCACCTGCACTGGGATCCCTTATGTGCGCGGGTTCATGTCCCGACTGCTCCATTTGCCATCCAGCTCCCTGCTTGTAGCCTGGGCAGGAAGTAGAGGATGCCTCCACACACCCACTCAAGTTGAGAAAATATGTGTCTTTGTATACTTTGAAGAAAAATAATAACCTTTGGAGAGAGAATTCTGTAGCGACAGGAGTTGGGAAAAAATAAAGAGCAATTATCCCCAACTGCACGCTCAGAGTCTTTCTGTTAATGTAAGGTACTGGATTGTAGAATTGCAGGCTGTTAGGATTCATAAAAGAAGGAAATCCCTTTCACAAATTTTTATATAAGTATTATTTACTAAGGCGCTAGCTTTCTCTGAATAATTTTGAAAAACATGTCTCAATTATGTGTCCTAGTGTGACCACTGTGCACCCTGACTGGGCACATTTCTGCAAGCAACCCAATTAAGAGCAGACAAATTTCAAGACGACTGTTAGAAGCTCCTGGGGAATTAAATACTAGAGGGAAGCTGTAGCATGAAAGTGGCAGCGCCCTCTAGTGGGTGAAATTAGCAAACAGGCGGTATCCTAAGAGGCAAATGTTCTTGTTTTTGTTTATTAAGTACGAAATATCACTTTCAAATAGTCTTGATCTTGAAGGAATTCAAGTAAAAGAGTGAGCTATATTTACACACACACACTTTTCTGGGGCTAACATCTGGAGAGGCAATATTGTTCTCTATCATCACTTGAGTAAAAGGTTATCTGCCCATTTGATTTGATATGTATGAAAGCCAAACAATTCTCTCAAAGGGAAGCAAATGCAATGAAGCAAACACAGTAGTGACAAAAACCAATTAAACTATTTCCAGGTTACTGTGGGAGGAAAGGTACATTTCAATATTGGATCATAAGAGCAGAATAATAAGTTAGCATTATTAAGAGGCTAAAAAAAAAAAAAGATCAAATAAAACTAGCAATTAGAAAGTCCGCATGTTCCTAAAACAGCTCAACAACAATCTCCTATTAATTTATACATGTGTTGGCCTGTAAATAATTCTTAAAAAAAAAAAAAGCCTGCTTTACAGGTATCCACGATGAAACTCAAGTTGGGAAAAATAAACCTATGTAAAGTAATTGAAAGTAAAGGAGAGTATGGGTAGGCATTTAGGCTGTCAAAATGCCACTTGAGATGTATGCATCCCACACTGGGATGCTGGGGCTCCGTCTGCAGCTCCTGAGAGGCAAGAACTCAGTCCCTGCCATCTACGTGGGAGACCTGGATCATGTCCCTCACTGTGGGCATTTTGACAGCGAAACAGTGGATGGTATGTTCCTTTTCTGCCTCCCAAATATATAAAGTTAAGAAACATTTAAGCCTGATACTGCTATCGGCAGTAAGCAAGAGAATTCTAGAAAACAAAAGTTGCGTAACAGGTATGTGTGTATTAGCTTGGGAGATGGATATGGGAAAGTAGGCTGAACAAGTAACAAATGTATAAAACATAAGGGACAGCTAGTAAGTATTATTCCAAAGCGCTAGTCGTCTTCTCTTTTTCTTTAAAGGATTTATGTATTTATTTGAAAGGCAGAGATATAAGACGGTGAAACGTCTGATGGTTCACTTATCAGATGGTCACAAACATGGGCCGGGCCAGGTTGAAGCCAGAAACTTCCATGAGAGTGGGCCATCCTCCTCTGCTTTCCCAAGAGTATTAGCAGGGAGCCGGACTGGAAGTGGCACTCTCATGGAGTGGGGTTTTACCTGCTGCGTTACAATGCTAGTCCTCTTTTACTTCAGAAAAAGGGAAAAGGAATATTCAGAAAACCACTAAGTCAAACTGTGTGAAAATGTTGCTAACAGCTGCCAAACCAAAAAAGAAAAAAAAAAAAACTCGAAAAAATATTGATCATATTTCTGTAAACTCAAAAGCTATTTACTGATGTAAACTGCCCATCAGGAGGGTAGGAGAGGTTCAGCTCTGTGTGCAGGGGACCCAGAACAAAATCGGGAGCAGATGGCAGGACCACTCCTCGTGTCCTACCTGAGTGGCAAAGCATGCCAGTGTCCGACACGAAGTGCTTCCACTTCTTCTTGCCATACGCCTCTGCCAGTGCCTCTGGAGTCATCATCTTGGTGCCATGGCTTGCCCTAGTTTAGGGAGATGAACATCATGAATGGTCTCCTTCCGTTGGCATTCCAACTGGTGACTCCCACTGCCACCAAAGCTCCCAGAAAGTTTGGTTCCTTCCTGTTTTTCACTGGAAGCCTTTCTTTTTCAAGCTTCTACAGGGTGTTTTGTTGACAGAGATAAGCTAACACATGCAGGAGAGACTGCGTGAGAGCTGGAACTTGAATGGAGGGGACAGACACACCAGGAAGGGGGATTTTGCACGGGGACCAGATAGACATAGGAAGGAGAGAAGCATCATGGATTGCTTTTCATTCCTTTAACCATGACTGAACTTAGCTGAGAACACTGCAGGAGCTAAGGCTGCTCTCCATACGTATATATGCATGCACTCATACACATACACTCTACAAACCTCAGAAAAACCTGCAAATAAGTCAGAAAACAAGCAGAGATAGGGCCACACACATTCTAGCTAGGTACATCCTAGGGGAAAGTGTGAAAAAAAAATTGTTATTAGGTAAACAGAAAAGATTTATCAAATGGGAAAGTATAAATGGGTACAGAGAGTAACCTGTTCTAGAATCTCCTCTTTTTTGACTCTGATCATGTTGGCATAAATAAGAAAGGGCCTAACTTCATTGTCTGTTAACTGGCCTGTAGCATCAGGACTGGGGAGTGGGGAAGCAGGTGCTCCTTACTGCCCACTGGAAGAATCAGCACAGCAACAGCAGCCCTTCTGTACTGTGTGCCATACCCTTAACAGTGCTGCAGAGAAGCTGGGCCCAGAGCGGAGGGGAGGAGGAAAGCCAGCACTGAGTGTGGGTGGCGGGGGCTGACGCAGTGGGAATTGTTCAGAACATTTCTACAGGGAGCTGAAAAAGCATGATTGCTGTAGGATATGAGAAAATGTGGGCAAATGAGAGAAAAAAAATGAGGTTTGTATAGAGCACCAAACTACCCAATAGCCTTTCTTTTCTTCTTTTCCACCCTTATTCAAAGCACTTCTATACTCAGCTAAATTACACAAAATAAATTCCCAGACTCTTGCCGTGAGTAGTAGTCAAGGAGATGAAGAAATGAATTAAACTTGAAGGAATTAAACCTTTAAATCTAATGCTCCCAGCTTTGTATTTAAACAGGTCACATGCAAAAGACATGCAGGTGGAGAAGCTCACACATTTGAATCAAAATGTTACTTCTATTTAAGTCATAACTAGAAGTTCATATGCTACAGAGAAACAGTGTCCTAAGCAGTCAAGTTTTGACTTCGCAGTGAAATTGCCTTACCTAAGCACAGAACCATCATCTGCAAGTTTTATGAAGGTTCCGTCTTCCAGATCCAATGCCAATCCCTTGCAACTGGAACAGAAAAGTTTAACTATCAATCAGATCATACTTTCCGCTAACCTAAGAAACACTGGTCTTACAAAAAAAAAAAAAAAGTCACAGTGCTAAAGGGATTCTGAAGTGAGTTTCCCACAGCAGTTACGCCAGGGCTTTCAATGTGTACATCCCATAATGTAGTGCTTGGACTCAGCTCCTGGCTCTCCTCCCAAGCCCTCGGAATTTGCCTCAATGTAGGCCAAGTTTTCAGACATTTCCCTGGCAGGGAGGGGGAGGCAAGGTATATTACCAAAGACCATTATTAATAGAAATTCAAATTCTAAGCTTTAGGTTCTGGTCTAAGAAAAGACGTATGGCATTTGGGAAGAAAATTAAGTGCAGACTCATTATTACAAATAAAAATAGTGAGGAAGTTTAGTGTAAGAGACAATAAATACCTGAATTAAGCAAAAACTGCCAATCTTGAGAAGCATTATTTGTTTTCTCTAAAATAAAATTTTCAGTGTCAGTAGTTTAACATAATGAAACATTTCTGTTTTACAATACAGGTAAACTGTTACAAACAGGGAAAATGATATGTGATGAACTCCAGGCATGGAATTTTCATGCGTTTCAGGATCATTTTTACTTTTAAACTGAATAACTTAAGTCACTGAAAAATTCACTCATTTTTGTTATTTCGTGAAGAAAGAAGACAATGATAATTTTTGGACACTGAGGATCGCAAGTCAAGAAGGGAATGAACACTAAGAATCTTAGGATTTCAAATTACGGAAAAGCAAATGTCCGAGCTCGGAGACTGGTTCCTCCTCTTCCCTAACAGTTCCTAATGTGAAGAGTAACAAAGTTCTTAAAACTGAAACTCTCAATTATGGTCAACCTAAACCAGAAAAACCCCAAATTATTCAACACACTCTTAGCTTATTTCCAGGTTCTCCATGAAAAGACAATTCATTAAACACTCATTTTCAATGTATAAGGCATTCGGTCCTTTGACTCCAACACACATTTCATTTTCTGCCTTCATAGAAGAGGCGATATTAAATATTTTATCAGCAGCAATTAAAACCTCAGGAAATACATGGAGTTTAAAAAGAGAACTCACCAGAAATCCCAGTCCTCAGGGGTCACAGTGAGTAATTCCTTATGGTAGCCTTTCTCCTTGACCAGGAACTGAGCAAAGCTATTATAGATGAGCTGCAAATAAGGGGAAGGGGAAAAAGGAGATTAAATTTCACAGATGTAAAACACCAAAGGATCAGTGGTGAGGGTATGTAGGAGAGAAATATGTCCAAGTATGTGTATTGTAGTTTAATTCAAATCCTTTCACAAGCAAGCTATCAGGTCTCGCAGGTTCTACAGAGATATCCCACTCAAAAATTACAAATCAATACAGAATTACACAATCAAGGAGAATTAATCATCTAACTCCTGAATTCTAATAGGTTTGAGATTCCAATTAGGATTCATCAAAGCTCTCTAAACTTAACACATTACGAAGATGGTAAACATGTGAATATCATTTTTATAGCCATCCATGGTCCCTCCTTTTACAAATGGCCCATCTCAGAGACTCTCAAGGTGAAATACACATGGAACAAGGATTTAAAGGAGCATGCAGGCCCTAACCAACACAGAAAATATATCTTATTTTTCCAGCAAAAGGAAAACAACAAATTGAGGAAAAAGGGCAAAGGAAGTCTTTGGAACAGAGCACTATGATGAATACATGGTGACACATCTTCTGATTTCTTAAAACAATAAAATGTTAGTTTTCTGAGTGAATCCTCTTAAGGAGGTGGCTCAATTTACTCTAACATCAGCCCTCAGTACTGAAAACTCTTGTTTTAGGCCATTGTCAGATACACGTGAACCTGAGGCTGAAGCTCAGTCTCTGGTTGGGATGAGCAGTGTCTAAGACAACACACTGAACACCAGGCCCTTCTTGTGTAAATGCTAACACTTGGCAGGCTTTTAGAGCACGCTGTGCCACAGAGGGAAAGGCTCCAAGACATGGGAGGAACATTGGAACAGTGAGAGCTATACTGATACCTGGCAGATGAGAAAGCGTGGGCTTAGGGTTAGTCCACTCAGGCAGGCCCAGCTGAGAAGGCTGTAACACAGCTGCTGTTCAGGGCCTTGGTGTCAGGGGACGAGTGTGAAGAGAGCAAAAGTTCCTTAATAGAGCTGCTCTCTGTTGTTGGGCTAATCATTACACACACACACTGAAATGAAGAGTACCACGACCCTAATCCAGGTCAAGTGCTAACACAACCACATGATACTAAATCTATCTCTGTAGAGTTCTCAACCCTGGAGGTGGTGCTTCTTAAAACTATATGGATAGGGCCAGCATTGTGGCATAGTGTGTTAAGCCCACTGCCTAACATGTCAATACCCATATGGACAATGCTGGGAGTCGCAGTTACTCCACTCCAATCCAGCTCCCTGCTTGTGGCCTGGGAAAGCAGTAGAGGATGACCCAAAGCCTTGGGACCCTGCACCTGCGTGGGAAACCTGGAGGAGGCTCTGGGCTCCTGGCTTGGGATTGGCACAACTCTGGCTGTTGTGGCCACTTAGGGAGTGAATCGGGATGAAAGATCTTCCTCTCTGTATATCTGACTTTCCAATAAAAATAAAATAAATATATATATGCCTGGGATGTGGCATTTGCCCTTTTCCATGAGATTGGTGGCCAGTTTTAAGTCACCAATAGTCCATCTTCCTGCATCCATTCTAGAAATTTAACAACTGGTCTCACAAGCCTCTAACAGCCAGTTATTTTGCATCGTTAAAGTTGCCTCTGGCCAAGGTAAATTATTCAGCTTGGACAACTGGAGTTTCTCACCCCTTGACAACAGTGAGATACAGGCATGTGATCCAAGCAAGGTCCCATTCCCTCCTGCAAGAAAGGAGCTCTTCCCATCAGGGCTCCCACAGGGTCCTGCCCAGCTGCATTCCCGTCTATGTGGAGGAGACAGTTACGTATTTCAAGTGCACTTGAAAGAATTTATGGAAAAAGTAATGAAAAGGAAGTTGGTGTCAGGGGCCACATGCAACAAGGAGCGGGAAAAGTGGTGCTGAGAAAGGCAAAAGAGTCTGTGTTTCTGTGCTCCCTATTCCAGCCCCCAGGCCTTCATTCTTGACACTGTTCTCCTGATTACGTTGGCCCCCCCTCCAACCACCAGAGCATGGGGCCCTCAAGACTTTGCTCTCCCAGTCTCAGCTGCCTCCTAGTCTCCTATGACTAATACTGCACACTTCACAGTGGTTACAAATCACTGCCCTGTGGGCCAAATGCAGCCCACAAATTACGTTTGGTTCCCACTGAAGGCTGCCAAATAAAACAAAGATTACTAGGTAAATTTGATTTTCAGATATGCAACAAATAACTTCAGGATGAACATATCCCAGGTAATATCACAACTTGAAAATCAATTTTAACTGAAGTATCCTGAATTCTTAGCTAAACCTGCCAATGCTATAATCCTGCTAGGTTGTAAAAGGAGGTAATTAAATAAAAACTGTAAGGATCTCTCATTCTATTTCAGATTTCTAGTATACCAAAACTGAATCGGATCTGGCAAAAACGGTGCTCTGATTTCTTCATGGTGCATGCTGGCAGGAATGGGTACTCTCTCTGCTACTCCCTTTTAGAACTGCCTGGTACCAGAACACAAGTGTCAGCCACTGTCTTTCAGGATTCTTTCCTGCAGGCCCAGTGGCGTTGCACACCCATCTCCCTGTCTACAGAAACTCTGCATGTGTTGAATAGCCAGGACACTGGTAGTTACAGCACCCTATCAAGGCACAGTCCTCACAGACTTCTCTAGCATCTTGCCCCACAACTCCTTGCCATGTGAACAGAACCACAGTACACCAGCTGTTGCTTTTCCAGACCTTGTTATATATGCTCAGCCTGAAGGGCTTCTCCTCAACTCTCCATCTGCCACTTCCAACTCCTTTGCTAGGGACTCAGCTCCATTGCTTCCCTCCATGCTTTACAAAACACAGGCCAATGGGCCCGGCGCGGTGGTGCAAGTGGTTAAAGTCCTCGCCTTGCTCGCCTGGGATCCCATATAGGCGCCAGTTCTATCCCGGCAGCCCCGCTTCCCATCCAGCTCCCTGCCTGTGGCCTGGGAAAGCAGTCGAGGACGGCCCAAAGCTTTGGGAACCTGCACCCGCGTGGGAGACCCGGAAGAGGCTCCTGTCTTCGGATCGGCATAGTATCGGTCCGTTGGGCTCACTTGGGGAGTGAATCATTGGCCGGAAGATTTTCCTCTCTGTCTCTCCTTCTCTCTGTATATCTGCCTTTTCAATAAAAAAAAAAATAAATAAATAAATCTTAAAAAAAAAAAAAAAACACAGGCCAAGCAGTAGTGTGGGACATACCTGCACAGGCAGCATGTAGGCCAAGGGGAAAAGCTCAGAGCCAATCTAGCCATGGGTTACCACTTCATCTTTCTGTGCCTCATTCTTATCTCTTAATGGACAGTGATGCTGATAGCGTCCCTACAGGGTGCCATAAGGAATACATCAGTTCACAGAAGCTGAGCCATTATTAAAATAGTGCCTCTGCTATTTTAGCTATGAAAATATCCATTATTTATGTAATCACTCCACAATTATTTATTGGGTCTTGTATGTACCCAACACTAAATCTGGCACACAGAACACAAAATAAATTCAACAGACACCTGCCAAGAAGTCATTGCTCCAGGATCTAGTGCAGGATTCCAGTAGATAAACAGCAGGATTCCAATAGATAAACAGGACTGGGAAGGAAGGGAAGTGTGGAGGGAAGGGGAAAGGTCCCCAACAGGACGGCTTTAAAGATGAGACTTAACAAAAGTTACTGTGAGGACAAAGCACTCCTAAGCCAGCAACAGTGTGCAACAAGATTCAGATCATTGATCTTTTACTCTCCAGAGACTGCTGCAACAACAGTATTATCCCTTCACTGTGTTACAATGCTCAGCACATTGCCAGTGTTTAGGAAAACACTGCTATACCACGCATGATTCCATATTTGCTAGTTTACTGCTTTCAACCTTGAAACATGCATTTACAATGAAGGCATATAGGAAGGAATCCTTGTCTTTGGGGTTCTTCTGAAATTTCATGCTCATACATGCACAAAACTGGCTTTAACCTGACAGTAATTTAACAATACTCCCTCGAAATGACGGTGGTTGGAGAGGAGGCACACGAAAATGTGACCCAAGAGGCACTCTCATAGGGAAGAACAGTACGAATTCAAGATGGAAGAGAAGCTGTTGGAAAAGAATCCAGAAGGAAGACTTTAGTATGGTTACAACTAAGGAAACCAGACCTGCAAAGCAGCAAAGCAGAACTATACAAAACAGGAGAGTAGGCTTTAGTGTTTGTGCCCATGAAACGCACAGCAATCATTTAGTCATTGTTTTTAATCTTGGACAAGCATCTGAACTGGGTGCATGGACTTCACCACAAGGAAGAACAGCTGTTGCAGGGTGCAAGCGAGATCACACCAGACATGCCTAAGGTTCATTAAGGAGTCTTTATTAACCAAGCCTGGTGATAATAGAGCACAATAGCAAACCACAAATCCATACAGCAATCCAACCAAACATAATCCCAAAAGGAACAAATGGTCATTATCCTTAAGTCCATGCATTAAGCTGAAGACCTATGTCCCAGCTTCCCAAACAACACAAGTTATCCTAAGAGACATGCAACAAATAACCTGGACACACTTTCAAAGCTGCAGACATTTGCCTTTCCCTGGCTTCTCTGCCCACATTCAATCACTGCTAGGCCTCACCTCTCCTGGAACTCCTGACAGCACACAAGCCAGAAACAATATTCTTATATCCATTGTCTCGTCTAAGCAATACACAGGGACCATGCTTAGGGGATTGCCTGTCCTGGGTGGGAAGGAACAGGAACTGGGCTTGTAGCTAAAAAGACTAATTGGACTCATCTGCATCCAACTTCCCGGCCGAATTAGGACGTGGGGGGAAGAGTATAGAAGGAGAGGTGAAGGAACAATCACTGGCTGCACTCCATAACATTCCCCACTTCTCTTCCAACACCTGAGTGAAATCATAGACTCAGTCACATGTAGTCCAGAACACTGGCAGGGTCCTAAAGTTTAACTTTCTAATGCTTGTATCCCAGAGTTCCCATTCATTTGGCAGAGAAGCATCATGACAGAA